TTTCGGCGTCTATACATCTAACGCACGTACATTTAATTTTCAAGAAGGTAAATTTTAGTTTGTTTTCACCACATTATACGAACCCTTGTTTTTGTTTAAGGATCAACTAATTGGCTACATTTTGACAAGTCATATTTCTTCACACGAAAATTATTTCGGAAAATAAAAGCGGTTGCATGAATTGCTTGAGACTTGCAACCTTTCCCGTAGCTAGGAAAGAGCTAGGTAAAGAATGCCTCAAGATTGTATATCGATTGCCGCCACAAACCACAATTCCACTGCATGTAACGAAACTAGAAGACGCAATGTTCGATTGTGAATTACCACCACATTTTTGTTTAATCAATTTTGTGTCTCACCACAATGTACACTCCCGATGAATATCAAGGTGAAAACGCGATCTTCCATGGCTCCATCCTGAGACACTAAGTTGGATACTCGTCTAGACAGTCACCGACCACCGCGATTCCCCCGCGCGGTGCGTCCTTTTTGCGCTGGCCGATTGCAGAGTGGCTCTGGCCTGTCGTGGCGGTCGGCAATCTCGTCGGATTTCTCGCCGAGTGTGCATCCTATGATGTGTTTACACGTTCGAATTTGCCGGAGGATTTGCGCCGGCGGTGAGCGGAATTTGAGGCCGGGTGGCGAAATCGACTCTTCGTGGGCGGAAAATATGGATCGGTGCGGATGCAGATTTAAAGCAAGCGTCGAGTCGATTTCATTTCCCGGCTCCAAATCCCTCTCGCCACCGGCGTGAATCCACCCGTGAATTCCCAAACGTACACGCGAAATTAAAATCCCTGGTTGCGTGATGAAGCCTAAGCTTTATCACGCAACCAGCAGGGAGATTAGGCTTCAGGGCCTAATCTCCCTGCTAATCACGCTTTGTTTGCAAGGCGCACTCGCCCCCTCTCCCTCCGCTTCGCTAGTACAGGGCCGTTAACGATTGCACGATAAGCTCCCTATTGATGGGTGCTTTAATTTTTAAGAAGTTCGGATGATCCATTTTTGTCTAGGCAGTTTTACGCGTCAGAGTTAAGTTCCCTTTGGCCGAGCCCAAATTTTTTTGTATAAACAAATATATTATATCTTGTTCTGTATATTGCTCCTTCCAAAAAAAAATAAACTTTTCTCAAACATTCTGATAAACCGGGGAGCACAAAATGTGCCGTGCGTTTAATATACCTGCTCGTAACATACTATGCCTGGTTGGTTTCGGATGCGCTGCTCGCGCGACACACACTTATAATCTCCGGGTTCATCAGAATGATGGAGACACGTTTGAGTTTCTTCAGGAGTAGAGAGTGTTTGGTCGATGCGTGTGGTGTCTTGAGGTCTTAGTACTCTCGGTTTTTTAGAGTCCCTCGTGGCACCTGAAGCAATCGAGAGCAGTGAGGTTTATCGGGCCCTATATTCCACCAGTCGAATTTTTATTTGAAACTCGAACGATACGCGCCCGTTGCGTTATCCACTGGTACTACTTTTTCATTCATCCCTTGATGTCGTGAGTTTATGTAGGGCGCTGCGCGTCTCAGGGAAGCAGCTGCCCACTTCGACGGTCGCTGACGGACTGTATTTTTTTTTGTTATATTAATATTAAATAAATACAGTACCAATCCCAATTTGTTCATATCAGTGATTCTAAGTCCGACCGCGGCTAACGCTACCATTGAATGAAGCCAATCGGGCATTGCTAAAAGTGTATCGTCAAGGAGCTCGTTGTCTTTGTACGTTTGAAATGGGCGCCTTAACCCATCGCCGACAGTACAGACGCCGTTGTTTTGTGCTTTTTTTTTTTTTTTCCTTTGCGTGACTGTTGGAGACGGGGATACCAAACTCCCAGAGACGAGAGCCGTAATGATGCCTTCTTTTACACAGCTCGATTCGCACCCACAGATGGCATCATCGGCTTCGATATACTGTGCGGAGCCCAAGTTCGTTTGCTGCTTTTCCAGGGGCTGTGGCAACGTCAGAACGCCGAGCTGTGATTGGCTCTGATCGACGGATAATGGGTAGACCTCAAGTCAGCTTGCTTTGAGGTCTACCCACTATTTTTCAATTAGAGCCCATCAGAGGTCGGCGTCTTTTTGACGTCACAGCAGCTCTTGCGCTAGAAGCAGGTGACTACCTCTCCACATAAGTACGACTAGCTCTTCGCATAAGGACGACCCGCTGCCGACGATCGTCTGCGGACCAAATACAAAAGACCAAGTATGCTGCCAACTGTAACTTATGGAACTAAATATGCTGAAATAAGTGTGACTTCCAGGTGACAGCTCCCTGCGTGCTAAGCACGCTAAACCAAACGTGTTGTTGGTGAAATATATTAATTATCGTAAGGGCTCAGTCCATTTTTAGTTGGCTCTATACACCACCCAGAGTGTAGGAAGAAAATTATGGGAAATCAGGAAGATTCACTTCATTTATAAAGCAAAAGCTAGAGTTAAATCCTTCTTGTATGATGATTGGATGATCTAAATAGTCACGTCCATTCCGCCAAGCTCTTCGGTCAATCCTTTACGGGAATCTTCTGCAGGATCTGTTGCTGCTTCACCGGATATGTTACCCCAATTTCAGACGGCCTAATCTTCCGAAGCGGCGACCTTGCGGTGCCTGCATACCCTCGTGTCTTCCACATAAACTCGTCTTCTGAGTGTATTTGTCGTCTTCCTCCCTCGTCCTGGCTTGTGGGTCTTCCTGGCATTTTAACGTGATATGACGCGCGAAAACGGCCGTGCGTTTGAGCATCATGGTGATGCCCGTGCGCAGCCTTCGGAGGCAAACAATTTCACATCGTTCTGAACCAAGCCTATCACTCGCCGCTTACAGTCGCGTGCTGCCGTAGGCGACCGTCGGTGGCCAGTCATACCTAAGGCTGGTTTGCACATCTGCGTTGGTTGCTTTCGGATGCAACCAAAACGACCGCAAGGACAAAGTCAACGGGACAATTGTTCACCGTTCACAGCATGGCAAGCTATGCAAGGGGTACCTTCACAAAGCAATCTATGAGTCGCGATCTTTGCGGTCTTTTGGTCGCCACTGTCGTTTCGGTTGCATGCGAACGCAACTGTTGCAAATGTGTGAACCAGCCTTTAAATGTTACGGAAACAAAACTTTAGCGCCGATCTTTTTGCATAAATATGGGCTAGGGACAGGGAGCACCTCGGAAATATCAATATCGCGCTGTATAGCACAGGAGAACTAATCTTAAACCTAATAAAACGATTTTAAATACACTTCCGGTGGATTGTGTGAAAGTTCTCGTGACATCACTTGTGGCATAGGAGCGGAAATACGGCGTGCCCGCAGAAAAAGCCTAGGCCTGAACGCGTTTGCAAAGCCTCGGCAAAGAAAGCCAAAGCGTAGTTGTCCACAGTGAGCTCGTTCTCGTTCCGGCTCTTTCCACGACACGGCGCGCGTACGCTTCTGGTTCTGGAGGTTTCCAGCTGAACGTAGAGGGAAAAAACCAAGTGGGGAAAAAGAGACACACACTGCTGGATTATCAACCAGTTACTGGAATTCTTCTTTTTCATCTACCCTCACGAATTATGCCATTGAGTTCCCAAGGGTAACTTCTTCGGTATAATATTTGATTTCTTGCGTTCACATGTTCCTGACTAGGTTTCTCACTTGGGGCGTCCCAGAGGATACAGTTTTTTTTTTCGGAAACAGCGGAAACACAAAAACCAGCTTGCAAGGAAAATCCTGCATTTTCTGGCTATTGAGGTGCTATTGAGTGCCGCCTCCATTACGCTATTTCCGAAAGATAAACTGTATCTTCTGGTGGCGCCCCTAGTGAGAGACCTAGTCAGGAACATGTGAACGCTAGCCGCCAAATATCATAACGAAGAGGAAGTTACCCCTGAGAACTCAATGGTATAATTCACGAGGGTAGATGAAGAAGAAGAATTGCAGTAAACAGTATAATTCATGAGGTTAGATCACTCTCCCCCTCGCCATTGCTGGGTACTAACGGTTATCTCTACTTACCGGTTCCCTCGAGCTACTACTTTTGCGGTGTGAAACTAACACGGTGAACGGAACGCTCGCGGAACATAAAATACTGGTGTGGTCACGGACGACGTTATGGGCAAGCTAGAACGTACAGTCCTCGGATACTACTACTAAGCGAGATCGTCACGCGTTGACGCCATCAAGCGGCAACGCTCGCAACTACGGTGCCCTTGGCAGTGCAGGCACTATTGACGGCACCCGCGCGGTACGCATTACGCTTCTAGCTGGCCGACTTTAAAGCGAAAGGAAGAGAGCTCGTGCACCCGTCTTTTTGTTTCAGTACCTCTTTAAGGCCCCTACGCACAGTTGTGTTAAAGAGCACTGGAGTGCTTTTAACTGTGCTGTGGCTGCGAAAAACCAGGACATTCCTGGTTGTAATGTTACGTGCCAAGCTATTCCTTGAGTTGAATTCCACGATGCATAGGAAGCACAGATATGCTGGTGAGTTGCTTTTGTTTCTTGACGCAGCGAACTGAAACGCACTCAAACGTTCTCAAACACAACTGTGCGTACTGTCCTTTCTCATCATACTTGTGGTGCCCAGATAACGTGTCAGGGTGCGGGTTGTGTGGTCCGGAGTTCGATTCCCACTGAGCTCCCTAGTGATTCTGTCTTGATTTCGAATGTTGCCTCTTAGTTATAAGAACTTTTAATAGTAATTTAATAATCTCTATGCTTCGTAGAGTTATGCATGGCGTGCAACGGGTTATAAATACATTATGTTGTCGTCAACTGAGTGAAACGATTTTTTCTTACACTCCAGCGTTACCTACTTCCATAACATCCAGTTCGTAAATACATACCATGCTAAAATTTATCCACGTCGAAAACTGCTTAGCACTGCTTACCTTTGAGAATGAGTCCATCATACCGGTAGTAACTGCACTACCGTATTCCTACATTGTATCATGTCTACACACTTTCCCATTACACGCATGCGCCGCATTCTAATTATAACTCCAAACCCTACTTTCCCTCTGTCTTTGAAGGCAAACAACGAGAAGTCCCGGGCCAGCCCTCCGTCCCTGCCGACATCGACTCACGTCGTGCTCGCCTACAGGCACCGCGCCAAGCAGATCGACCAGATCAGCCGGGTCGCCTTCCCAATCGGCTTCTTTCTTTTCAACGCACTCTACTGGCCCTACTACATGTTCTAGTCCCGCGTACGGACTTTTGCACGGGGCAGCTCCCAAGGGACGCGCCGCGGACCGCTCTCCGCGACACAGAAGACAGCGTAGATGGTTCCGCTAGGGGACGTCGTATTGCGGGAAGATTTGTTTCCGACTCAGGGCTTTTATGCGTTTTTATTTCTTTCTCCCCTCGTTCGTTTGTAGGAAATCTGAATTTCAATTCATTTGTACTGTATGCCGACCGAAAGCACGCATGACCTCCCTGCTTTTCTTTCTGTTGTTTTCCGTCTTTTGTTTAGAATGATTTTTTTATGGTCAGTTAATTAAATTTTCATCCCCACGAAGTTATATGCTTGGCATATAAAATGGTGGAACTCTAGCTATAGGGCTTAGAGCAGTTGGTGCCTCCATTAACTGCGCATTCAGGTCGGAGATAAATTTTTTGGTAAATTCGTAAGAAACATTATTTCTTTTAAGTTTAATACTTTTAGTCAACATTGCCGTGATATATGTATAATATATTTTTATTCGGGCTTCTCTACTTATAAGTTACTGGCACTTTTGTTGCTAACAGCTGATTACAACCTACATTGAAACAATATGAGAAACTTGACAAACACAACTTATCCCAAAGTGTTGGTAAGAAATTAACACCAGCGCATGTGCAGCCTCCTGTAAAGAATTTAAGATGTTTTGATCACTCACACTAGTGTCCTTAAACTATTAGAAATATTCAATGAGTGAGGAAATTAGAGAGTATTGAGTACGTCATTAAGTCTTCGGATATCTGTACTGTCCTCATAAAACATGCGAATGAAAGGGAAATTACATTTGAACATCCGTGCAAGGGCCATTGTAATAACGCCAAGTTGGGTTTTCCAACTTCCGACAATACTGCTAGGAATGAAGGTGATGATTTAATAATAATCATGAGTAACTATAAAATATGTTCTATACCAACAGAACATTATTTAATTTAGTTCATGGGCGCCTTGCTTTGTGCACCCTTAATCCTAGCACAATAGGGATGCGAAGTACTATTAAGACTGCAAATGCGTGTGCTGTGAAGACACTTTTATTTTGTTTGTGCTGTTTAATAACTATGTTTTTCAACATTGTCCAGTAATTGAAATTAATGTAAATAAATATCAGGACTTTAATTTTATTGTAGAGTCCTTTCTAATGAACCAGGCACACAAATAACGTCTTGCCAAAATAGCGTGAGCATAGTCATTGTCATAAAAACCACCTTCAAGGCATGTTCCACACTTCCACATTTTGTTTTTAATTTTTACTGGTTATTGTTGGTGGACGCGTGTGTAGTCAGACAAATATTGAACTGTCTACTTTTCCATCACGTTATGTTATGAATTATTTAAGGAAGTAATATGATGGCACCTACTGTGGGAAGGGAATAACTTTTTTCTCCGCAAATAAACTATGCGGAACCAACCACTCGGAATCTCTCTGAACATATTGTATATGGATTAAAGATGATTTAAATGTGCTAGAACGTGACTTTTTTTTGAGCGATCAGGGTAATTTAGTAAGTTTTCTAATCAGCTGTACTAATAATTTTCCTTCTTGGGTTTTTAATTGAGAATATGTGTTCAGGTTTCTCATAACAACTTAACGAATCCTCTTTTAGTGGACATTGTGTTATATATACTTGGCAATTAACTAGAGGTTCACTTACAATGTTGAGGCTTAATACACAGTAAGTTATCTTCATTGGTACGTTACTCTACGTTACAGCAGTAAATATCTACCAAAACATGTGTAAGAATCACGTTTATTACCTGTGCATCTGACCAGCAACCATATTCTTCTCTAATGCAAGGTATTGCGTTGTCGATTCAGTAAAATGTCTCACCGCATCCACTTCCCCTGAAGAAAAATGAAGTAAAAAATATAGGTTATGAAACTTCTCATGTCGTTTCGAAAGCACATACTCGTCCACGGACGTCGATTGAGCTCCTACCTCGTGCTCAGTGCGGAACACCCGGTCGATAAGTAATCTCGTAAAGAGCTCATCTAGAACAACGCGTAATGACATTTTGTCCCGTCGTGTTCTCTCCAAGCTCCATCTTGCATCGAACTGGGCCAACACCGAGATTAGACTTATAGAGTGAGCAGAGGAGTTCTATTTAGATGCAAATATAAAGCTTTCTTCGTACAGGCACTTGTGTTCGGTAAAAGCAAACAACTGCGTAGCCCACTCTCAGTCTATGTGCTTAAACCAGTCGATGCCTGGTATTCATTTATTACTGCGCCCTACAGTTGCAGCGAACAGAAAAGTAAGACGTTTGGAAATGCGAATAAATCTTCTTCCGTTCTGAATTTAAATCGCATTGAGTCTTTATAAGACGCAGTCCTATTATTTCTCGTGAATGTAACTGAATACGGTTTAAGGCAGGGAACTGAATGCTTGTCGGTGCCTCAAGTGTTCTGATATCTGTCTTGCCAAAAAACTATCAATGTTTTAGTTCGCGTTATTTGAATATCAAACGGGATTCACTTTAGTTACCATATTCAGCGGGAAGCACGGTAAGGGTTAGATACTTTTATCTTACGCAACAACACGTTTAGTTGTTTTTCACAGTCTTTTTGCGACCAGCCTCTTAGAACATGCATGATAACGACCGCACATAATGACATTGCTCCACTTCGCACATTGGATAGTGGCCTTGCCGGTCCTGAAAGTGAGTAGGATGTGCAGATTATTTTTGGTCATCAATGGAAGGGGCCCACTTTCGTCAGCATATTCTCGCACTAACCGTGAAGGATAACGCACGCAACTAATAAAAGATGTTCCTGAATGTTTCGATAATTTTATAGAGCACATGCATTTTCGAGATGTTTGTTACATATTTTATCTAATTTTGTTGCAACCATTTGCATTAGGTATTCAGGATGCTCTTCTAGGTCACAACGTTAAGAAAATGTCTCATAACTTTTCTAAAGTTGCACAAGTGTACTTTCGAAGATTTTTTTTTTCAAATGAGCGGGTTGTCACGGTTTATCTACGTTTGGCTATGCTGTATTTTTTAAAATTTCATATAACTTTGACTTTTTACTTCACTTGTTTTTCGATATATTCTAAGGCACTCTCATAATCGTTCGCCGAGAACATTTTGAGGCTGCAGTGTTTCCACAGTTAGCATCAAGTGAACACTTTTTCAGCTTTTTCAATTCATTATTTTTATAATTTTGCTATGCCTTTCCCCAATTAGAGTACCCTTCCACCAGTTTGAATTTTTTCACCTTTTTTTTCTAAATCTCTACTATAGTCATAATAAATTTCCTGCATAGAAATGCGTTCGTAACACCGTCAAACAAGCTCCAAACGTAAAATTCGACTGTGTAAGTTATCCAATATTTACAACGATAACAATTCAGCAAGAGGCCTCTATCTAACGTAAAAGAGTCTAGTTTTTATACTGGGCTCGTGCGGTCATTTCCACGATATATCTTGCAATTGGCTTTGATATTTTTTGCACCATCAACATGCAAGAACTAAATTCTAGCTGGCTTCATTGTACTACAATAAAAACGTTCCTGGCATTTTTAAGCTATAAAACAAAGTAAGCTTATTTTCAATAACGTATTCGTTGTATATCTAGAATATTACTAGGACTGACTTATACATTTCGGGAAAATCTCAACGACGCTCAAACTCTCATAGGCGTTGACCTTTATGAAAATAAAATAAGAGGAGCCTCACAGCTCATTCTTCCCAATATTGACACTAATTTATCCTGTAAACTTGTATGAGTGTCATGGAGTACTTCTTTTCTCAATAAAAATTTTAATGTGTGCATCGTTGTGGGCTAAGTAAACAAATTTGGGGTCTCTATATGCATATCGAGTTTAATGTTTAAAGAAGTAAAAATTTGCTAGTGGATATGTCACCGAATAATTTCAAGGCCCAGCTTTGTTACTGTGAAAAAATTACAGTATTGATTAGAATTATTACAAAATAACTCCACCACATATTTTACAAGTTTGAAGTCATGACACTCTCGTAAGCGGTAATTTCACTGTTTATAAATAACCTTTATCTAGTATAGCGGAAAAAGGTAATTATCTCAAAATAATGTAGAGAGGATACTTCATTTGCCTAACTTCAACTTCCAGATTCCATGCGGATTCCAGTTTATTCATTGCCCGAAATATATTCTTCCAATAATGAACGAATTTCTGAAATGTTCAATGAAATTGCGTCCAAACTTGACGCAGCTTAGAGAAAGTTTTCGCGTGTCGGTTGCCATGTTGAAATGTGACGTATTTGGGTTGGGCCACTAAAGCTAAATAGCTTAAGCATAACAATAAGAAAGTATTCCCAAGAAAAAGTATTGGCATGCACCACATGAGCTTTAGCACCCTCCGATCGGCAAATAAAGTGTTTTGCTATATTGGCTCAAAGGAGGTTTCCAGTGTTCAACATGGCGCCCACCACAAGAAAAAAAAAAGATATATAGAGGTAACTTAAGCTAAAGCCAAGGTTACTATGGGTCGACATCTTCAGTGGCAAAACCAAGGAGCCGTCGTTTTTATGCTTATCGTCTAACGGTGCACCATTATTTCTACAGCTCGAAAGTAGTGTAGAAACTATTTGTTTTTATTGCTTCCAGTAAAGTAAGAAGCGGAAAGTATTTTTGAGAATTCCAGGATGTGGTAGGGGACAAGACCTAGTCATTTTGGACGTCTCTTGTGCGTGGCTGAACAAAGGGCGCGTTCATAGCAACCATTAAGAATGTCGCGCTGCTTCAGGGACCTAAGTTTCATCAAACACATTTCGTGTTTTGTCGTGTGTACTAAGGTTTGCTCTTAATTCGTAGTTTTAAAATTTTCACTTTTTGGTAATATATATACGTTCAGTCTCTGCTCAGTTCTTCCTACAATCTTAGCTGAACCTACGCCGAAGACTGGGAGCAAGGAAAAAGTATGCTTACGCTTGAGGCGGGAGACAGATGTGCGTAAACACAGTCCGATTGGATATGAGAAATGTCAGAACGGCGGTCGTA